TTTAGTCTACATTTCCCTGCACTGCTCTACTCTACTCTGCTCCACTCTACTCTACTTTACACCCTTCTACTCCACTTTACTCTACTCTGCTCCATTCTACTCCGCTCTATGCCACTCCACTCCACTCTACTTTGCTTTACTCTATTCTACTCTACTCTACTCTACTCTACTTTACTCTAGTCTACTCTACTCTACTATACTCTACTCTACTCTCCTCTCCTCTCCTCTCCTCTCCTCCACTCCTCTCTGCTCCACTCTGACTCTCCTCGACTCCACTCCACTCATCTCGAGTCTGCTCCACTGCATTCTCCTCCACTCTACTCTCCTTCACTCTCCTCCGCTCTACTCTACTCCACTCTACTCTACTCCACTCTACTCCACTCCACTCTACTTCACGCCACTCTACTCCACTACTCCACTCTACTCCACTCGACTCGACTCTACTTGCCACTTTATTTCACTCCAATCTACACCACTTGACTCAACTCTACTTCACTCCACTCTACTGCATTCCAATCTACTCCACTCCGATCTACTCCACTCGACTCTACTCTACTTCATTTTACTCTGCCACACTCCACGCTTCCCTACTCCTCTCTAATCTACTGAGTCTACTCTTCTATACTATGCTCTACCCTATGCTTCTCTCTTCCCTACTCTTCTCTACTCAACGCTTCTCTACTCTACGTTTCTCTGCTCTTCTCCTCCCTACGCTTCTTTTCCCTACTCTTCTCTTCTATACGCTTCCGTACTCTACACTTTCGTGTTCTTCCCTACTTTGCTCTGTTATTCTCTGTTATGATCTTCTCTCAACTGCTCTACTTTGCTTTCCTCTGATATGCTCTGATTTGGCCTACACTCCTTCACTGTTCTCTGGTCTACTCCACTCTGCCTTACTCTACTTCATTCTGCTCTTCTCTACTTCACTCGCCTCCACTCCGCTCGTCTACACTCTCCTCCACTTTACTCCACTCCACTCTACTCTACTCCACTCCACTCCACTCCACTCTACTCTACTCCACTTTACTCCACTCTTCTTCACTCTACTCCACTGCACTATACTCGACTTCATATCACTTTCTCCACTCCACTCCACTGTATTTCACTCTACTGTACTCCACTCCATTGTACTCCACCCCGAGTCCACTCTACTCCATTCCACTTCACTCCAATCTATTCCACTCGACTCTACTCTACTTTATTTTACTCCCTCGACTTTATGTTTCCCTACTCTTCTCTACTCTACTCTTCCCTATTCTTATTTTCCCTACGCTTCTCCACTCCACACTTCCCTGATCTTCGCTTCCCTGCTTTGCTCTGCTTCTCTTTTCTCTTCGCTACCTTGCTCTACATTACTATCCTCTGCTCTACTATGATCTACTTTGCCCTTCTCTGCTATGATCTACTCTGCTATGATTTGTGCTGCCCTTCATCATAGTGCGCCCACTTGCTGACTTAAATTAAAAAAAAAATCTTCATACTGAACTTTTTTCTTTATATGTTGGTGTTGTTCTTTCTTTATTCTAGGCATTGTTCTTTTGTTGCTTCTCTCTCTCTCTCTCTCTCTCTCTCTCTCTCTCTCTCTCTCTCTCTCTCTCTCCATTTATTTCTCTTTCTCTCTATCTCCCTCTCTCCTCCCCTTTTGTCCTTCTTTTTTTTTTTGAATTTTCAATCTATCGTCTTTTTAATTAGTCAATTGTGCTCGGACTTCGGAGTCGCTTTGGGGATATTCTTTATTACCCTTTGATTCAAAAAATAAATAAAAATAAAAAATTGTCTGAGTTTATGAGAGTTAGTTTGAGGTGACCTACTACATTTTTTATTTCGGGCGCCGCCCACACTGCGAGCGCTTAGCTAGTACATATATATATACATATATATACATATACATACATATATAATATATATCCCTCTCTGCCTACGGTTTATCGGGCAACTCTGTGTAATGATATATACACATATATATATATATATATATATATATATA